TTTAAAATACCTCTATTAAATCACTTTTTTATATCAATTATAATTTGTGCTTGTATAGAGGTACCTTTATAAGGTCACACCTCTTTATAATCACCTGATTAATACGTGCCCAACTGTGTGATTATAGGGGAGGACGACTGTAGACTAACTCAACTTTTACCAATATTACACGTCAAGTAATCGTGTACCAATTTTTACAAAACTTGCGATAGAAATCATGATAATTTCAGTACAAACCACCTCAACCTTACCTACATATTATATGTTAAGTTTTGCACTCGAATATATAGTAACTCATCGATAAAAATTACAATAATTTAATAAACTTTAACAATATTTTGAGATTAATAGAAAAAGGGCGCCAGCGGCGCCCCATTTACACTTATATATATATATAACATTAAATAATAGAAAATAAACTATACATGAAACAATAGTTTTTAGATAAAAGTATTTTTTACCTATTCAATTACTCTACTTAATTCTAATACTGCAAGTATAAATTCGACAATAATATGTATACTTAAAATTATGCGAATACAATCTGAATCTTTTGAATGTTTCAAACATCAGGATAATGGAATAAAAACAGTTATCATGACTATTGTTGCTATTCTTCCAGGTGTACGTCCACTATGGACAAACATATATATAGTATAAATGGAATAGCCGAGATTAAAGAACATAAGTGGAATAAAAGTCAGAATCCAACATTCAATCCAAAATTCTTCTCCTCCACCACGAAGTTTCCTAAGGTGTTGTGGAATGGTTTGTTCTGAACTTGTTTTGTTTAGTTCTAGCGCATCAGAAATTCCTTTTTCTAGATTAGCCTCAACTTGTTCTTTAACTATAGTTTGAGTAACTATCTTAGGAGTTATTTCATTTAACCCCACTGTATTTGATTGAATATTAGAAGTTTGTTCTTCCAATACCATTACTTCTGACATGATGAATAATTTTTTAGAGTGAAGAAAATCAAGAAATAATTGTTAAATTTATTATTTGATATTGGTACAGGAAAGCAGGCTTTTCGCTTAAAATTTATATAATTTTTTAAGAATAATATTAAATAAAATTATAAACTGTACAATTGTTATACAAAAATTTAATAAATTTTATTTTAGTTTATCAATTTAAAAAAAATGTCACAAGTCCTCTGTTAGTATTATTGATGTAACCCAAACCCGATTGTTTCGCCCGAAACTAGTCTGGTATTTTGAGATTTTGCCGTAACAAAGTCTCAAATAGCAGTAATATTTGAGTGACATTAACTTCAATGAAAAATTTGTCATTATATGAACAATATGTCTTTTCAGTCTGGTACCATTTTCAACGTCACAACGTATGTACGACCTAAAAACTTCAACCACTTTATATAGAATAAAGGGTTAACCAACTCATTAAAGATAACTAAATTTGTATTTTCAATAACATGCTATTTGCATATACAGTCAGACCTCTCTAAATGCACGTCGTCGGGACGTGTTCATTTAGAGAGTGTTGCAATTAGAGAACACTAACGCTAATAAATATAATGTTACTATTATCATATGATAAATATAACTTTAATAGCCTAGAAATGATAAATTTGATTGGTTGATAATCATGTAGTTGCATTTATGGAGGGAGTTCTTATAAGTGGGCCAGAGTGCAATTGCAGAATAAAGAACGTGCATTTATCTATAAGTCCCATTATGGGGCTAGTCTTCTATTATGCATTTAGAAAGGTGTTGCATTTAGGGTTGCATTTAGGGGTTGCATTTAAGGGTTGCATTTAAGGGTTGCATTTAGGGTTGCATTTAGAGAGGCCCAACTGTATATTTTTTTTATGCAAAGAGATCCCTTCGCTTATTAAGATCGATAATTTAGGAAACAAATTTCCGATGTGATACTAGTTTGTACATATCTCTACATAGAATATTGGGATTTTTAAATTTCCTGCACCAGTGCAGGAAATTTAATAACTTTAATGACATTATATAGAATAAACTCATTGAAGATAAACTAAATTTGTCATTCTCCATTATGTATATATTGTTCTTTGTTTATGGTTTTTATGCAAAGAGATTGAGACCTTCGCTTATTGAGATCGATAATTTAGGAAATTTATTTTCGATGTGTACTAATTTTATGCATCATCTGTATATAGAATTTTGAAATTTTTAAATTTCCTGCACCAATCAAAAAACCACAATTATACCTTATAAAGACAAAATACAACCAGTGAAATTAAATACTTAAATTTATTGAAGTCGATAATTTAATTTTAATGTGCAACTTGATTATAGGTTACAGATTATGCCAAGCTGTTATTAAAATAACACATCAAAAAATTCATATGGTGCATGAAGCTTATACCCGACAATCACGTGAAATGTTTCAATTTTCGCGTGATTGCAATTGACTAATAAAATTAGTGTATTTTGACAAAAACATAGTAAACCGCTAAAACTTTTTAAAGACTTTTTTTCAAAAAACTGAGCGATAACTTTATACACAGAGGTGAGCTTTACAAAGTTATCGGTTAATTATTTAAAAAGCTCTTATGTAGAAAGTTATGTCTGTTCGAAAAACCCCAATCTTCAAATCAGTATGACTCTAGATATGTATTCAATTTATAATTACAACGTAACATGTGTGTTGTAGTCGAAAACAGCCAGAGTTATGTAAATCAGGCAAGTCATTAAAGACCACAAAAAAGAAAAAAAAGTGAAAAAGGTAAATTAGTGCTCTAAGAAAATTACTAAGGATTTAATTTTACATCTAACAACAATTCTAATACCAATTAATCAATAATTATTAATAGGCATATTATTTACTATTTTTGTCAACAGAATTGAGGTACGATAAGACATTCACATTAGAATATAGTATTATTTGCACAACCAAAAAATCTTTGTGAATATTGTTTATATAGGGAATACATAGGAATGAGTCTTGCTAGTACGCTGCATACCAATTAATTCTAAAATTCATAATACAGTGTCTTGTCTATCTGTAACTAGTGTAAAAACAGAATTTGTTAATAACGTGAAATAGAGATTGAACATCTGCAGCTAAAAACAAACTATGTATGGTACATAATACTTTTGATATAATTTCCAATATTTTTTTCCCAAAAATCATTTCCACAAAATTTTTATCGACTCCACCAATTCAACTCATACAGTGACCCTCAAAATTCTCCTAGTTACACAAAAATTGATTGTAATTATTATTATTATTATTATTATAAAATATATTGGTGGCTATTATTCATACCCCAATTTGTTATTCGGCCCTATAGAATTTATATTTTCCCTATAAGAAAAGTGGTCCGGGTTGTGACTCGGGTTGGTTTCGGGAATGCACGAAATGGTACGGGTAGAGGCTCATTTTACGTGATAACACGGCTAAAAATGACACGGACATTGCGGCAAAGTGGTGGCACGTTTTGTCACGTCATATGGTATAGGACGTATTGAATGGTACGTATTAAAGATGCAGACGAATCATCCCAATGATTGCCGTAACTAGTTACGACATAAGCTTTAGCTAGTTACAGCTTAAGCCGTAACATCATTGGGACATCATTGGGATGATTCGCCTGCACCTCTAGTACGTATACGCACGTGTCTCAAGAGCGAGGGATCATTAATTTTTTTTTAAAAAAAAATGCAATATCTCTAAATTTCACCGATAAAATTGTTTTGGGTATTTTAACAAAAAATTCCTTGCAGAATTTTACACATATGAAATTATTTCGATTTTCAAATAGATACTTTATTGATGATTATGATGTAAATTTATGTTTTAGTATGCATAATTGTTGCTATACGTCTGTACCAAAACCGTGCCAATTTAAGTAGTAAAGTGTTGCAAAACTTGAGTCATTAACGGTCCAATTAGTACTGGTATTAGAGTTAATACCTGAATCCAGTGTAAAGGGTTCCAAGATATCAATTTTCTTTCTTTTATATTATTATTGCATATTAGTATTTTTTTTCTTTTTTCTGTCTTTCTATATCATTATTAAGTTGGTAAAACTCAGAGTTACTGTCGGTTTCGATCAAAGCCCTAAAAATAGTAAGATCATCATCTTATATAGTTCGTTTTGCCGTTAAGGTCACAAATGACATAAATGGAATTAATTCCATTAATGTATTTCTGGAATTAATGTCATTTCGGTAAAGTTCAATTCTAGAACCTGTATTCACATAGAGATGTAAAAAGTATATAAGCAAGCTTTCTTCATGTTGAAATAAAGCAGGACTCAGTAGAGTTTAAAGCTTCAAACATAACAGTAGAAGGCTTGACTCCAGTAGTTTTTACTTATCCTTAAAATTCATTTTTAATAAAACATTTAATAAATTTTTTCTCTGCCACCGTCATCCTTGTTAGAAAGTCATATCAATCATATAATTAAGTTGAATTCTAACCTTTTAAATTTGAGTATAAGTGTAGGTTTTAAGTTTCTTTTAATAGTAAAATAACACTTATAAGATAAATTGTTATAAAACTTTCTTGTCCCTTGATTTGATTTAACCTTATTCTTAACCTTTATTAATAATACAAAAACTCTTTTATAACAATTGATTAAACTCTGATCCATGTTATTGTTACCCCAAATTGGATCTTAATTGAGATCACAATTATACATAATAATTGTTAAGAATCTTAATGATTGAAGTCAAATATTGGAACCTTAATAAGGCAAAACTTAAGAAAAAGTATTATCTTTAGCCTCTAATAAAAGCTAAATACCAAGCAGTTAAGATATAATTCAAGATTATACTTATCTAGAATACTAGTATTATTGCAGTAAGACTCAAAAGATCTTGAGACTTAGACCAAGTCTCTCTATGCTTTTTTTAGCCTGCTATTCAAGATTTTAAAAATCTTTAGATTGTAGATTGGTTTATTAATAATTATAGTTTAGTTGGCTTTATTATCCACTCAATTAATTACTAAATTTAAACTTTTAAATTTAAATATAATTATTAAATCCAGATTTAATAATTATATTCAGATTTAGTTATAATATCTGGATTTAATAATTATATCTAGATATAGTATGATAATACATTGTTTAATTGGTTAATAGATAGGATTTCAGTATACTACCAGTAGTACTTTGTATCTCAAGTGTGACACTAGTTAAAGACAATTATTTAGTAATTTTACTAATTAATTATCTTTTAAATAATTTTTTATAGTTAATGAAGTTTTGTACAATATATAAAAAAAGTTTGGTAAAAATAGATAGCATTTTTAATTTTTTAAAGTTGTTTATCTAGAATCCTTTAACTTAGCCTAGTTTTATATAGTAAATATTAGCTATCTTAGTAGCTTTAAATACAATTTAAATTTTTTTATTATATAATTTTTTTTTAAATTCTCATTAAAACAACAAACAAACACATAGTGAAACTAAAACAAATAAACAAAACACGTAAAATGTTAGAACTTCCAGATTACAAAAAATTTTTTAATAAATCAGAAAAAAAAAGAGCATCAATACAAGAAAAACAAAACAGTTTTATTTGGGAAGAGGATAAAGTAGTCGCAAGCTATTTAGGCACTAGTGAGATCTACCTCATTGCAATTATTCATAATGTTCTTCATTATTACAAGTGGGCCCAATATAAAAAAGCAAGTAAACAAGAATTAGAAGAAGAGAAAAAAATCCTGCTTGAACTTTGGGTAGACAACAATATACAAGTAGATCATATGAATAAAACACAACATAGCAACAATAACAACAAAGTTCAACTTTCTGGAGAAAACCCTGTTTTGTCACAGTCTCATATTCCAAAAGAAAATTACCACAATATGGAGATTATAGAAGAAGCTATATCAGAAATGATAGAGAACAACATGCAGATTGATAAACAAACTAACACCTGGAAAAGAAATCACACAGAGCAGAAAATCACAATTGACTTTGCTGAAATTACAACAGAAACAA